AGGTCTCTGTGGGTAGACAGGAACTTGACGAAAAAAACTCAGGTCTGAACATGGCCAAATTGCAATGCTAGCTATCCACCTCTTCTTTGAGCAGCATCCTCCACTGGTGTAAATCAGTGAGGTACCACTGAAGTTCATTTTCACCAGCTGAGGATTTGACCATCTGTTCTTCAGAATGCCCCAGAAGTTCCTTTGTTCAGCTGTGCCTATGGAATCCTGGAGTCTCTTTGTACCTCATCAGTTCCCTGGGGAATGTAGGTCCTTTATCCTTTTATGATTCAGGAGCAACTCCAGATACAGTCTGTATGTGCTGTCATGCCACAGGGGGCCAATATTCACAGGGATGTTAGTGCAAAAAAATAGCCAGGGGGCTGGGGCTACTTTTCCTGCCTGTTAGAGAGAAATGTGTCAAACTAGTGGAAGCATGGGAGCAGGAACCCAGAGCAGGCTGCAGAATATGGGAAATGTGTAGAAAATCGTGATTTCTTGTGAGGGGGATTGAAAATGTTGCTCACCAGTCTGCAACAAAGCAGCCAGTCTCACAGCTCCACCTGCAGCAGCTGCTGCCTGTCCCCTCCCCACCCCCTCGCCTCAGTTGCCAGCTCTGCAGAAATGGAGCTAGAAAGGCACCTCCGGCCCTGGAAAAGAGGATCTGAGCTTGCCCTGTGGAAAAGGGGGAAATTGGGGATGAGAGACACCTCCCTGTGCTAGCCTCCCCTTTGCAATCGGGTGTAGTGGAACAATTTGTACAGTGTGTGTGGGGCGGGAGGGGAGGAGGCTGGGAGCCATTGAACAGAACTGCAAACCTTGTATATGATGGACATTATTTGGAGCCCAGCAGCTGTGCTGGCCAAGCTCTGGCAGCACACTCCTGCATGCCCTGAAGGTGAGGTCGGGGCTCTAACTCTCAGCTCACGGTTGCTGTAAGTTGGACCAGCCATGACACTCACTACACACCAGCCTAGGGACAGACACTTCCCATCACAACCCTGTGGGGTGGGAACAGCCAGCTCCATGGGGTGGGCCGTGGGCGGTTCTCTGAAGATGGGGATGCATGACTGGAAGGGTGATCTGGTACTTGCAACCCTATGCCCCCACCCGACCCTCCCCTGTATAATTTTCCCATGGCCAAGATGCCAAGTGCTCCCTACAAGCACAGCTGCCAGACCAGCTGTAGCCCAGGTCAGGAACCTCCCCAGACCTAGAGGCTGCTAAGAACCCTTGAACCAAAGTGCAAACCCTGGAACTGATAGGAAGCACTGACTCAAGTCGGTGGGGTGGCAGCCCCCCCAGTCCCAGCCAGGCTCTTCCCTGCTGCTGGGGGGCGGGGTGAGTGCGGGATCCCGTGGGTATTTCGGGGGACGACGACACAGGGAGCAGGGGCTGGAAGTCACTTGCATGGGAGCACCCCACCTGGCAGAGAGCAGGACTGACCCTAGACTATCTCCTCGGGGGTGGGAGATCCCTGACAGCCCAATTCCATGTGGTACCAGTCAGGAGCCCCGAACCTGCCTCACCCGACCCTAAACTTAGCCCTCGGGGAGGAGGGGGCTGGATGACCATGTACTTGATCCCCACACGCTCTTGGCTCATCGGGGGCCCTAACTAAAGGCTCTTCCCTTCCGGTGTCGCCCCAGCTTTCCCCACACAATGCGGCGCAGCTGGGGGGCGGGGCCATGACCTCATCCTGAGCGCTCCGCACCAATCGCCGGGCGGAAACGGTCGAGGCGGACCAATGGCTGGCAGCCCAGGCCCGTCGCCATGGTGACCGAAGGGTATAAAGGAGGCGGGCCGGCACGCACACCCTAAGTTCTCTTACAGCGACCCCCTAAGAGTCGCGCGGTAAGAAAGCGGCCAGCGCCCCGCCCGCAGCCAGCATGGTAAGGGGCGCGTGCGGGGCTGCACGCCACGGGGGGCGCGGTAGAGCAGAGAGGAAATGGGGCGCTAAGGGAGTGCGGGGGGGGCGCGGCTGTC